AATTAAAGGAAATACTGATAATAAATAGAAGGAGGAAGTAAGTATACATAAATGTTGTAATGTATGAGTCATTCATACATGTTTTGATTGTATACACAAACGTGACTCAACAAATAAATAAGTGTCACCGTGTGGTACAGGGAACGGTGATGATGATGATGATGGTGGTTAGGCCCAGGTTAAACCTGTCACTTTTATTAATATTATCTTATATGTTTATGACACGTTCTGTTCACTATCAATAATCATTTTCCAAATGTAAACAGTATCGGACATGTGACAGTGTTATTTCGTTTGTCTGTTTGTTTACAGATTGCTTTTAAGGGTTAAAATTGTGATAATGAACATAACAGCAAAAACAACAACAACAACGAAAGAACAAAATCAGATTGAAATGTAATCATTGACTGCTTGTCAAACAGTATAGATGACATCTATCAAAGATAGGCTTGGTGCTATACACTGTGTACCTTCGCCTGATACGATATACAACACTGATTGACTTCTTCGTATAAATGGTTAGATATAAACATGTCACATGAAACAGTATCCCCTGACAGGGGACCAAATATAGAACTGATCGATAATATTAACAAATTTTATTATCTATTGCTTTTATTCCCTTGGGGTCTGTCTGTCTGTTTTCGACATAGAACTTTGCACCGATGTGCACCAGTTCAAGTCGCCCCACACTCCCTCCACCTAGCACACAAAGCAAGAGAAGAAAGTACAAGAAACGCATAATAGAGACAGCAAACAGAGGTATGAGACAAGGGAATAGTAATAACGAAGAACAATATAGTCCCATTGGAAATCATAAGTCACAAGGAGTGGATGCATCCCCGCCAGCCAGTGGGAACAATTTTGAGCCATATCATCAATTGTTTCCAGTCTCCATTGGTATTTACCGTCCCGATGACCCTAACCAGGAAGTATACACCTTCCTACGTGACTTAAACTAACTATTATGTATTTCATTGACTGATGAAGCCATTCTGGTTTTGGCTTGATCACCGCTAGCTCTTTTCCAGCCTGACCCTATGTCAGCTAACATTGCCCTTCACACGGGAGACAGAACGCAGGCACCTGTGATCAAAGGCACCTAATCTTTTCATGTCTTCCACTCTTAATGACCAGGTATAGCTCAGAGCCATAAAGGAGGACGGAGCGGACTGCTGAGCAGTACACACGCCCTTTGGTCGACAGCGGACCGGTTATCACGTCTACTAAGCCAGAGACGGCGTAAACTGCCACATGCGAAACTAGCCTTCAGTATTCGTGCTGAGATTTCGACAGAGATCAACCCGTTGGCACTGATTGGTGGTACTTCCCAAATAAGTGAAGCGGTCAACGTGCTCTACCACTCCACTCCCTATTTCTAAGCTAGGCGTGAGTCAGTGTAGTTCAGTCCTGTTGCATCATCTTACAAAGGGAGCGAATCGCATGCCGAACGTTCGTAGATTGCAGCGCAAGGTGTTCAAAAGATTCTGGTGTATTCTGTTGGCATCCTCGCCTAGAAGGACTATATCGTCTGCATATTCTAAGTCAACCAGATTATTCCCTGGTGGTAGCAAGTCAATCCCTGAGTCTGTGAAGTGAGTTAGGGTTAAATCCCCAATACATATGAATTTGCATATTTCTAAATAATAACGGACAAATTACAAAACTCAATTGGGTAGCCTTACGTAATATAATAAGGACACCACCTGATGAATATTACTCAAAAATGATTATCATGAAAGCTGTAAGCTCTTGGAGACACAAATATTACTATTACTGTTGTTATAAAAAGAAAGGGAGACTAAAAATATGTGTACAAATTCTCTCCTCAACTACTCCTAAGTTTACGTTTAGGAGTGTTGAAGATAAACTACCTAATTTTGCTTCTTCAGTGTGTACCTATCAGTCCGACTGCTTCTCAAAAGGAGCCAGTTAATAAATAGGGTGTATAACTAGACATGTCTATCGCATCGGTTTTCCGAGCATCATCCAGCACTGTGGTTAAACAAGGAACAAACAAGACCCATCGTAGCTCTGTCCTGTCTCATCTTCTGGATGCACAACACAAAATTGATATTAGCAAGGCTTTCAAAATTATCTACCGTATTCTCACAAGTTATAGCTATGCTATTTAGTATTCAGATATTGGTATGCAAGGAGTAGATCGGTTTCAGGATTTCATCATGAACTGACATCCGTTCGAGAACCATTGGAACACCCAGGACACTTGTTTCGTACCAGTTTGACATTCTTCGGTAGTATGCACCCACCATGGTTCGAACCTAGGACTTTACAGTTACAATGCGTGGAAGCTCGTAGACAATTATGCCACTGGGCAATTGATGAGTTCCAACTTTTGCCAATTTATGATTGGCGCTACCAATCGGTAGTTACCTACCTTACAGAGGGAAGTTGTGACCAGTGAGTTGGAAACAGCAGGCCGGGACAGAGTGTAAATACTCGCCACCGATGACGTTGGCTAGTGCAAGTTGCATTGTATCATGCGTGAATTGTCAGGGGTCAGAACTCATGGGTTTGACACCGTATCCGGTCCCAGAGGCTGGAAGGTCTGTGAGATTGCTAACATGGTAAAATTAAGGTCCTGAGTTCAAAACATGGTGGATGACTGTGTACTGATGAAGATTCCCAAGCACTAGAACAAGAGTACTGCCCAAAACTTCCAGGTTTTCCAGTGGTCCTCTAACCCCAAGTCAGTAATGACGAAATCCTAAGCTATTCGACCTCGCGTTTGACCTCCTATAGTTCTATATTGGATACTTTGATTGAACACTAGTCAATGACTATTATGCAATGTGTCTAGTCCTTGGTGTTTAATTGAGACTGAATTCTATCGTGAGTCAAGTTTGCAGTGTGGCCACCATGCATCTAGATGGCTCGACACAACTCTTTTTGAAGGAAAGCAAAAATGATCAAAATAATCTCTAATCATTTCTGCTTTCCTCGATTCTGTATGACAGCAGACTTTTGTAGAAATTTCTATGTGGTTCACTTCTTCTATTCCGCCTCCTACACCCACATACTTTCACTCCCATGGGCATTGGGCAACATCACGTAGTAACAATACATTAGAATGTTTATATGTGCGTCGGTGGTTCAGCGGTGTGGCGCTCACTAACCCTGCAGGTGCCTAAGAGTTTGATTCCTGGCCAGCACACACCTTCACCTCCTTTAGCTGATTGTAAGCTGGACACTGAAGGAAGGTAGGACATGAGGCTTCAAACTCTGCCTCAACCTTATAAGCCTTGAGAAAGCCTTCGACAGGAAGCGTTGACCGCGAAGTAATTTGAAACTACTCGAGTACTACGGCGTACCCTAAATATTCATCAACCGTATTCAACAGCTGTACGGCAACAACGGCATGTGTCAAGTGATCCACAACGGAAAACTCAGCGAGGCGTTTCGAGTAAACACAGGAGTCAAGGAGACAAGGGTGCTTATTATCTATCACCAATGATATTCCTAATTGTGGTGGACTGACTGGATTATGCGTCAGACTGTTTTTTAAGCATTCTTCTTCGTCCTTTCACACTCTGTATATCTCAACCTTTTTATTACCGCTTACGCCAGTAAATATGCTAGTCTCTACTTTTCTAAACACTTTCGAACCCCTGTTCAATTTTGGCTTTGCTACCGACATCCCAATATGTTGTTGTCAAAACTAACTGAGATTACCTTTAATCTATGTAGAATTTTATTTATTGTTAATGTACAAACTGGATGCAATATTGTATGTAATGAAATGCTGAAATTCCATTCTATATCACAAGTACTGTTTTGGAATAAAACAAATTATTATTATTATTACTAACTTGGAGATCTACAGGCGAAAACCGAAAAACTTGCTGAATAAGTACTTGCCAGTGAAGACAGATTTCACTTCAGGTGAATATGGAGAGGACAGAAGCGGCGAAGATAACCAACAAACCAACAGTAAAAGCAGGAACAGTCAACCAGCCAACCAGCGATCACCATCAACGCGAGAGAGATTTGACAGAGGCGATTTCCTTCACAGATGTAACTAGGAAGCACCCAGGTTTCAACCTCAGGTCGTCGGAATGGATGAAGATTTCAAAGCCAGACAACCAGAACCGGAAAGGCGTGGTGGACCTTTATCACCCTCTGAAATCAGTTTGGAGATCTTCTCCACTCAGGCAACGTTAAAAATAAGATTAGGATTTTCTGCACAAATATCAGATATGTTACCGAAAGCATTTCTGAACAGTGGTTGCATAATTTTGTCATCAGCTGACACCTTCACTCTTTCTCCATACTGAAGATCGATGTCTGGCGAGTGAGGAAGAATTAGCAACAAGAGATCGTAGCTGGGAAAAAGTGAAACAAGATTCGATTGCTCGAAAGCTATCCGTAAGAAGTTGGAGATAGACTTGATATGCATTTAGGAGATTGCTGAATGACATCGCGCTGAGCTGAGCGAATCGCTCGATTCGAACCCGAATGGTAAAAATGATGATTTGTGCCTGTGTCAGAAGTTTGGTGAGATGCAAGACTACGGGGCTAACGCGGGGCCAACTGAAGAGGACTGGTAGGAATTGGATGAAGTGCAGTTGCAGTCCTATATACCACTTGGAACACACATATTATTTAAACAAACAACAATAAGTGAAATGTGTGCTGGTATAATAATCAATTAGAATTAACACGAAAAGAATAGAGTTCTGACAACGTACATTCTGAACTGACAAATTTAAGATTCACAGGTCACAGAATTCCTCTCCAAGTGAATAGGAACCCGATGGTTCTCGGTTCGATCCCCTGTAGTGTCATGGCTGCGCACTGCTGAAAAGTTCAGACCAAGACAAAACGATAAAATCTATACAGTAACAATAATCCAAATCCCACATCACTTATAATGTTGAAAATAAATAACACATTAGAAAGATGCACATCTTAAACGATAATTAGATAAGGATAATCAGATCAGATCAGATTAGATCGAATTGAAATCGAATTAGACTTACCTATTCCTTGTTTATTATACTTTTCAAGTTCATCGATTGTTTTAGCCTGAGCAATCACCATTGGTAAACAGAGGAATGAACCATATGATCTGTGTGTAGCAATAATAATAATAATAAAATATATTGAGGTACTTGTATTTTAGGCATATGAATGATTTCATAAAAAATTTCGCTATGAACCAACATCATGTAAGGAACTACTGTAAACTAGACAACACTCTCCTAAGTTTAATTCCAGGTGAAGCTTAAAGATGTGCATGCACTGAAGATTCCTAAACTAGGACGAAGTAACTGTCCAGTAAACTATTGTTTTCAACAGACCTCTAACTATGGGACTCTTTAGCAATACGCACCACCATCCAGGTCTGAATCCAGGACCTTCTGGTTACAAGACGAGCTAGCAGCAGATTGAAGGTCACGTAGTAACTCATCGAAGAAGACATTTCGAAGTGGTCATGAATTGGCAGAAGTTAGAATTCATGGATTGGCCATTGGATTGGTGGGTCCCCGTGGCTTAATGGTCTGTGAGTCCTCTAACTGATGTGTTACTTGATGTATATATATATATATATATAGGATATGGATAGGACATAGGCTCTGAGGAGATCATTAAACGATATCACGCAGTATTGTAGCCATCAGACTGTACTCTAATGGGGAGTGATAAGTAAGGCGTGCGTCGGAAAATAACATGGATAAAATCGGTTTAGAAGGCAACCAAGTGAAAGGGCGTCAGTAAACCAAGTATAGCGGTGGCACGGTGGTTAGGACTCTCGCCGGCTATGCACATGGTCCGGGTTTCGATCTCCTGCCGACGCACACACCTGATATCTATGGTCGGCCTGCAAAAATTTGTGCTACCCATATCACATGCTGAAAATTCCATACCTGTAGGGAAAATACAGTGTGGCATGAAACTGTAATCAAAAAATCTAAATAAGAAAAATAAAAATATTTCTCTGGACTTTTATGGTCCACTCGGAATGCAAGGAAGAAATCATAATATATTTGTCTATGAGCCATTCACTGCCTCTGTTAAAATGTTAAATAAACAAACTTAAGAGGAAGTGTACAATAAAAACAAGATACGTAAAAATCTATGACAAAAAATGGGCAAGCAATAAGTGAACAATGAACCTTTCACAATTTGGAATAAAACTTTATTTAAAACAATTAGTTCTCTTTATGAATTTAGATAAAGCAATAAGAAGACGTAATTTGTCTGAATCGTGTAATGTTGTATTTGCGCGCATAACACATTTTGAACAATCTGATCACACTCCACGGATTTGTCATAGGAATACACATATGAAATTAATAAAGGGTTAAGAGGTGATAAAAAAGACAAGTTAGGTCAAGTTAAAAGGACATATACATGGTCGAAATAACAATGAAGACCACTAAACCAAATAGCAGAGGTTATAGTACATCTACTGTGGTATCAAAACAAAATTTATCAAGGAAGGTTTAATGTGAGAACAGGGTTCTCACCATTAATGGGTTCTGAAGATTCCATTTGTTTCTGTAGCCATTCAGGAATACGCTCTGAAGCAGAGATCGATGAGTCCTCCCTATGTATGTGTGTGTGTGTCCACACGTACATTCAAATTGGTAAATACAGTGGGATGTGTTGCATTTTTCGCATGTTCTAAGGGCTTAGATGGATATAATGGCTTTACATTCTCTATTATCAATAATAGAGAATGTATTATTGAGACAGGACATAAAATTGACGCTAATAGATCTTTTGAACCTATCTATAAAAGATGTTTAGGACGTATCCTAAAGTTTGTGGAAACCCTAGCTAGCAATTAGAAAGTTTAAACCACCTTTACGCGATCAAAGCAACAATTCGTCATCACATTAAACCTTCCTTGGTAAATTTTGTTTTGATGCCATAGCAGATGTACTATTACCTCTGCTGTTTGGTTTAGTGGTCTTCATTGTTATTTCGACCATGTATATGTCCTTTTAACTTGACCCAACTGTCTTTTTTATCACCTCTTAACCCTTTATTAATTTCATATGCATATTCCTATGACAAGTCCGTGGATTGTGATCAGATTGTTCGAAATGTGTTATGCGCGCAAATACAACATTACACGATTCAGACAAATTACGTCTTCTTATTGCTTTACCTGAAACTTTATTACAAAATATTGTATTACTGAATGTTTATGAGTAGTTCGTTATATAATACAAAATAAAAAAAATATAAATAGACAGTACTCCCTGGTTTTCAATGGTTCTCTAACTGATATCAATCCGTGATCAACCCGTAAAATAAATATACATAATTGACAATTCGCTAAAGGTGTGAAATGGAAGTGTACACAAAAGAATTGACCAAAGTTATTCAATGCATAAATCATATATAGAGCAGCGTGTGTTCTTCACGACAGATATGCAAGATACAGCCTCATCAACCTTGAAACTAGTTTGAAAATCTTCTGCACTGCATCTAGCCAGCCATTTTCAGCATAAACAACAACAAGATTCGGAGTCTATTCAACACAAATATGCAGGTAGTCATTCAGTCAGTCAGTTCTTCTATGCGGGTCAGAAACTTGCACTGCATGTCACGAAAAGCATTTCCATCAGGCCAATGCAAACTTTTATCAGCAGCTACCATCTTCTTTGGCTGGCTCCATACTGAAGATCAGATGATGGCCAGCGGGCCGGCTGGGCAGAAATTAATTAGTAAGAAGAAACTCTGCCTGTGAACAAACCGACAGACGAGAGACGATCGCACAACAAACATGTAGGAGTAAATGGAGATGGATTGGACATACGTTGAAGAATGAGGCCATAGAATAACACCGCATTCCACACAGGCCACTGCTCGAGTAGAATCGAATGGGAAGCGGCGACGAGTGTGTCGTTGATAAAAGGGTGAAATGGAGGAGGTCGTGTAAGTTGGAGGAGGAGGAGGTGAGGGATAATGGGCAATCGTGTAACTAGCCAGCTGAAGTGGACTGCAGAAAATAGGACGAAGTGGAGATGTATTCTTGATCCCTACATTCCACTTGGAACCCTAGAGAATAATAATAATATATGAGAGTCCAAGTTCTGAACTTGTCAGCAGTATTCGATCATAACCTCATTAAACATTGGCATAGGACAATTTAGGCTATGAGGTGTTATTCAAAACCAGAATGAAATATATGTCCAATACTCTCTTATGTCTGATGGATGATTCTTAAAAACTGATTCTAGTCCACGACTTAACTTTAAATCAATAAAATACCTGCGGCCAACAGCTGAAATGAAAAATGCCGTAATTTCAATTATTAACTGATTGATATAAAGTAAAATCGTGAACTGGCTTCAGTTAGACAACAACTGCGCATGGGCATCAGAGATAACTTGTAATCTCAGAGCCCTGAGTTGCTACCTCTGATGCTCACTGCTCACTAATCTCAGACAAAGGAAAAAATATTTGAGAAGCAGCTCTTTCTAGTTTCTTAATACTTTCACTAAATGAAGTCAGTTTTCAATCCAACATGAAATCCCACCATTAACAAAATATTTGACCAAAATTTATTCTACTTACTTGATGTCAACACGTAAATAAAATTCAATCAAATGAACTAAACTTTTAAATATCAATCGCATTTTCTTATCTCCTGTTAAACAATAACCATCATGTGGTAGTATTTCAATTAAATTATGTTTGATTGGTAAAGGAGACTTCTTGATATCAATATCATCGGTATTGTGAGAGTTACTGTTGCCGCCACGAGGACTACAACCATTGAAGCGTTCACGAATCTTATTTGATGTACTCAATACACTGGTTGGTGGACAAACACGTGTCAACACCATACTTGAATTGGTTTGATTAACGCGTACAATAAAATTCTGTTAAAAAAAACACAAAGTATGAAAAATAATTACGTGAAATTTATTTATAAAAAATATACTACTTATATTGTTTAATTAGCACAAACGTTTTATCGGAAGATATCAACTTTTTCGTTTGTTTAGTGAACTACTGTCTCACAGCATTTAATATTACCGGCATAATAGACCGACTTTTACACTGGTATACTCATTTTTATTCAATTGTGTTCTCTGAGCTGAGGAACTTTGGCTGATCTTCTAGACAATATCTTCAGTGGAGACCTCAGTGTGAAGTGAACCTTGAAGTCAATTGGTGCGATGGTTGGTGAGTCAGCAGTGGAATCCTTCCAGGATGCGTACTTCGTCCTATTTGGAACTCGTCAGCCAATGGATATGTCTACATTCCCTTTGAGTCAGTGCTAGCGTTCCCACCACGTCTCAAACACATTGCCCATAGTTTCAAACGCCCAAGCGTTATCCAGTAGACCGCCTGGGCCACAAGGTCTAGACACCTATAGTTCAACGGGTCAAATTAATTATTTAATTCAGTCTTACATTTTCCTGTCTATTGACGGAACCTATTGCGCGGTCTAGTGGATGACGCTTTAGTGTTTGAAACTATGGACAATGGATTCGAGTCTTGGTGGGGATACCAACACTCACTGGGGTATGCAGGCGCATGCAGCTAACGTGTCCCAAATAGGACCAAATAGGCGTCCTGGATTCTACTGCTAGTCACCAGCCACCAGTTGACTTCAAGTTACATGACCAGACATCGTCGAAGCATCTGTACAAGAAGCCAACATGTCAACCAGAGAGCGAGCAATTCGGTCCAGTCAACCGATGGGAAATCCTAAATTTTAATAATTAATTAATAAGACCCCTGGAAAAAGAGGTGGCTTTCATATCCCAAGTGATCTAGTCGACAGCGCTTTGGCGTTTGAAACGATGAGCACTGGGTTTCGAGCCTCGGTGGAAGCGCTATCTCTGACTCACAGGGGAATGTAAGTACATCCACTGGCTGACGAGTTCCGAATAGAACGAAACCCGTTGTTGTCCTGGATTCCACCGTTAGTCACCATTCACCAATTAACATTTGTGGTTCACACTGAGTAGCTTATTATGTCTGTAGTATTTTAGTCCTTGCCTGAACTCACATACAGTGTATTTCATTTTTTGGGATTTGTTTGCATGTATTTTGTGGCAGTAATGACAAGTGTCAAGCGTTTTGATTGTCATTAATAACGATGATTATAATGATAACAAAATAAAGGTGATAAGAATAACGAAGGTAGTAATATGTGTGTATAGGTAGACAATCCAATCAATCAATAAACTAAACCACATCTTAAAAGTTACGTAATACTGAGGGTAGATGAAGTGGATAGATAATCAGAGTTTAAACAAATATCATAAAAGTATGAAGAAGATGGGAAATAAAAAAGGGTTGGAGGGTTTCATTGAATTAGAATTTACCTAGGCCAAGAGAGAGAGAGAGACAAAGGATTAGACAAACTTCTTTTGTGTATACAAAGACTAGCAACTGCTGTCTCGACTTCCTTTAGCTTTAGCGATGCGCTTAAAAGGCCAGTCTGAATGGATCAATGGAGTGCAGTCGATAAATTTGAAGGGGCTACTTCTACTATCCACTTGGTCACCACTATTATCAATCAAATGAGGCAGGAAAGAACTTCTTACAGATTCTATTCGGCCTTTTCCGAATCGTGAAGGTAGATGCTCGGTGATGATGTGTTTGTTTAGCTGTCCAGTCGTTTAGCAGAAGCAGCTAAATATTTAAATACAAGCTAGGCAGCTTGACACTCATTCTAGCAGTCATAATTGGTCGGTCAAAAAATGACAAACAAAAAGCTGACAGCAACCGTATAAGTCCATTTCATGGTTCTCTCTAGATAATCTTAAATAGAGAACTTCACTAACCAAAATAACAATAATAATAATTTACTTTATCCCAAAACAGTACTTGTGATACAGAATGGAATTCTCAGCATTTCATTACATACAATATTGCATCCAGTTTGTACATTAACAATAAATAAAATTCTACATAGATTATGGGTAATCTCAGTTAGTTTTGACAACAACATATTGGCATGTCGGTAGTAACGCCAAAATTGAACAAAATGTTCGAAAGTGTTTAGAAAAGTAGAGACTAGCATATTTACTGGCGTAAGCGGTAACAAAAAGGTCTAGATACACAGAGTTTGAAAGAACGAAGAAGAATGTTTTAAGTAAAGAAAGAAAGAAAAACATTGTACCTATAAATGATATGAGTTGGAAAGACGACATAGAGTTTTTCTACTGACTATTTAAAAAGTTAAAAGTTTCACGCCTAATGTTTTCTTTATCGCACAGAACACGAGAACACAAGTCGGGTATGGTTGAGTTTTTGTACTTGCTAGTGCGAGCATATAGTTTTCTACACAGACAGGCTTCTGGTGCTGCCTGATGAGATACAAGGGGAGAGTTGTGAATGAAGAGTGTGAGTGGTATGAGTTAGATAAAATGGATTTAGCTAACCTTTCGCATGAGTCCAAGTGGCTGTCGACCAGAATATTAACAATCTGCTTAAGTGGAACGCAGCTTACCCTGCTGACAACCATTAACACACTACGTAATAAGATATAGTCTTTCTTCGGTAGCCCAGGAAAAACTAATGGGGAACAATAGAGAATAATAGGCAAGATGCAAGAGTTAACGAATCGTAAGAGTAAGGGTTGGGTTGGGTTATTCCAGAATTTCTTAACTTCTTGATGTAGAAGGCAGGAATAATCATCAAGATATGAGACGACCAGAAAAGATCAGCAGATAGAATGACGCCAAGATATTTAATTTCCGGCATGATCTCTATTTCAGTGCCATCTATGTTGCACACCAGTTTGTTTAGGTCAGATTTATGTCTAAAGGTGAAACTGACTGTTTGGCATTTGGAGGGGTTTAAGGTGAGACCGTTTTCCTTGGACCACGGGCTGATTTCTGATAAAAAGCTATTCAGTTTGGAGCAGTCACTTTGAAATTTTACAGGCAAAGATACGCTCAGATCGTCAGCATATTTAACAAAATTAATGTCATTTGAAGATGGTAAGTCATGTAGAAAGAAAGAAAAGAGAATTGGGAAGAGTACAGGACCTTGGGGGACACGAGCTTCAGTGAGAACAGCAAGGAGGATTTACCTTTGTATGCAGTGCACTGCATTCTGTTTGAAAAGTAGGAATGCGACCAGTTAGTGACCCAGGATTCAGTTTGTATCATCGAGAGCTTATTTAGCAAGAGACATCTAGGTTATAGAGTCGAAAGCAGAAGTGAAGTCGAGAAACGTGCAGTGGACGTATTTGGCACCTTTATCTAATGATGAGACGATACTGTTGTGTAAGACGGCTGCAGCATCTAAAGTGCTCCTACCCTGTCTGCAGGCAAATTGTTTGGCGTCTTCAAAACTTTCAAGAGAGGGTTCAAGTTTAAGAAGTACTAGTTTTTCCATAAGCTTTAGAAACGCGGAAATAATGGCAATCGGTCTGAACTTTACGTCCTTGTTATTTCCAGGTTTAAGGACAGAGACTATTTTCATGTCTTTCCATGGAACAGGTACAATGTTTTTGGAAAAAGAAACATTTAGGATGTTAGTAAGTAGAGAACGTAGACAGGTACAACACCATCACGGCCAAGACTACATGAGAGCTTAAGCATTTTAAGGCATTTTAGAACATCAAGAGTATTAAAGTCATATCCCCATTGTACTTCATTTACATAATTGAACCAGGAGAAATAAAAGGTAGGGGGGTTGGGAAATCGTTGAAAATAAGGAGAAAAGAGGAGAAAACTTAGCTGGCTCGACTAGATAGATCTCTGACTGTCTGATACAGACGCCCTTTTAATCAATAAATGTTATTCTATGACACCGTCTCTTAATGTATACACTAAAGTGCATGACAACGTGCGCACACACACACACGCGGGGACACAGAGACAGGCACACGCATAGACACACATAAACAAATACAGACACACACAAAGATAAAACCAGACAGACAATAGATTAACAAAGTATTTAAAAATAATGATAAAAAAAAGTAGATCAACTTCTAAATCAAGTCAATTGAACACAATGAATACTTGTTTATATTATTTGGTATTGTTATAGTTATATAATATTTAAAAGTATCTCTGTTACCTTTTCAATTTTAACCACGACTGGATATCAGTTAGAGAAGCAGTGAAAGCCAACCTAGGGAGTACTGGAAAGCCAACTGCTTCATCCTAGTTTGAGTGTTATCGATTGACAGTACGCACACCACCGACGAGGCAGGGTTCAGACTCAAAACCTTCCGGTTATAAGGCACTATTTGTAAGTAATCCCTATAGGATAATATAAGTGGTGTGCGTCGGTGGCACAGTGGTTAGTACTCTCGACGACCATGCACATGGTCCGAGGTTCGAGCCCTCGCCGACGCACACCTGATATCTATGGTCGGCCTGCGAAATTTGGGCTACCGATATCACATGCTGAAAATTCCATACTTGTACCGAAAATACAGTGTGGAATCAAGCTGTAATCAAAAATAAAAAATAAATAAAATAAAATAACTAATACTCATATAAATCAATCAGTGGTATGTTTCACCATGAAAGGAAAGTATTTTACACTTCTTTTGGCTGGAAGCTGTTTTTTGAGCTCTCCTAATTTCTTCAGTAAAGTTAATGACTCCTCAATTATTTAATATCTCTACATCTCATTCTTGTCTGTCTCTTGGAGGAGTTTTGAGTTTCCGCTGTCGTATTCTCTGTATATGAAATTTTGAAGTTCGTAACCTGGTTTAAGTGTCTGGTTCATAGAGCCGGGTTAATCTGTTCAGACGACTGCCTCAATGAGGAGGAGGAGCTTAAGAGGATTAGAGAATTACTTAGAAAAAAAAGTGGTTATCCAGATAAATTCATTGAGAAAATTATGAATTCAGCACCTAAGAGAGACAGTATGGCCACAGTTTTGAAAAAAAACCAGT